TAGGGAAATCTCTCAAGGGGTGAGAAGAGGGCATTTCTATCTTTATTACCCTAGAATGTCTCTGGGGAGTAGGATGTCTCTATCTTTACAATCTGGAAATGCAAATAAGTTGGCTCCAAAGAGAGTTCCTGACTGTCTATTTTCAGGGCTGTCTGCTTATACAAAGATACTTGAAAAGACAGTCCAGGAGCAAAGTTTTTATTAATGCCTAAATGGGAAGCATTCATGGAGAATTGCCTTCCAACACTGCCTCTGTTATGTCAGTCTAGCTGTTATTCTTCCGAAGCATGTTGTCTTTTCTCCTTTTAATATTTTCTCTTTATCCTTGATGTTCCAAATTTTACCATAATTCTTTTCACTGTAAATTCACTGTTTATACTGTTTAGTACTCAGAATGTACTTAACATTATTTTGGTGTGGTAAAATACACATAACATAAAATGTAGTGTTGATATACAGAATCATGTCTTAAATTCGCAGAAATTCTCAGATGTCACTTCTGAAAATATTGCTCCTCTGACATTGCTTTACTCTATGCTGGAGGCTCTCAAACTATCCTCCACGTTTTTAAGCCACTCTTAAACGGCTCTTAAACGTGCATATCTTTTTTGTCTCTCTGATGTGTTCTGGGTGAATTCTTTCATACTACATTTCAGTTCACTAATTTTCTCTTTAACCAGGTCCCTTTCTCCTAATTTTTTTGTTTTGAGGACCATATTTTTCAGTTGCAAGAGTTCTAATTTATTTCTGTTTTTCATAATTTTTTATTATTTTAAAGTGATCATTATTCCTTTACTTGTATCTTTGAGCAACCTGAAATACTTAAAGTCTTTGTCAGACTGCCCCATGAAATTAATTTCTTTTGGACTGAATTACTGATTGTGTTGGCTGCCTTTCTTAGCATTAGATTTCTTCATGTGTTTAGGAATTTGGGGTTGTAGGTTGGATTCATTTTTAAATCTCAACCTCTCTCTCTCTTTCTCCACACATCCCTGACTAGTACTTTTTTGATGTTTTCATCCAACCCTTCACATCACTAATCTAGAACTAGGTCTTATTATATTATACCATTTTGGAGCTCCTATTCCTCCGTGAAATTAAAGAAACCAGATTTGTTGCACGTCTTGTCATGAGCCAGTGGATCTCTTGGCTCAATTCCTGGTCCTGGGGCTGTCCACTTTCACCCACCTCCCTACTTATAAATGTGTAGCCCTGCGGCAGTTTTTTGTTCTGCAGAATTCTTCCATGAGCTCCAGCCTCAACCCTGGCTTCAGGCAGTGAAGTTGGCTTTACTCTCCCTTTCCCCACTCCATGAATCACTTTCAGTTCCAGTTACTCTATGGGAATCAAACTTTGACCTGTGTAAGCCTTCTTCCAGACCTGGAGCACAGAATCCTGTGGCTTCTTCCCCACCTACCATCTTGTTTCTCGCTCCAGTCCTCTTTCTCGGAGACTTTTATTCTGTTTTTGAGCCCAGCCAATGTTTTGGGTTCTTTCTTTTTATATCATATTTATAGTTCCTTTTGGAGTAGAGAAGGTGCTCCAAGTATGAATTTACCCAACTATCTTGAATGGAAGCTTAATGCAAACTTTCTAAGAGTAAAAGATTTATCGAAACCCTGATAAAGCTAAGACAAGTTTTGGTTTTAAAATCTCATGCAATAAAATTACCCTTATCGTCAAAAACCTTTTACCCCAGAATCACAAAGAAAAACCTATCAAGTCATCTGAAGGCTTCTTCACGGAGGTGTTGAACAGCGGCCGAGTTGTTGCTGTGCAGCTTGCTGCCAGGCAAACCACATTCTAGACTAGGGCACTTTCAGAATGAAATCTCATGCCTTTCCTGTTCTAATTTATCTTGTTAGACACCTGTTCTCCATGATTGTAGAAAATTTTACCCAGGATTGTCTGTGGCTCTCAGTCACAACTCGACATCCCTGGACCCAGTTTACAAGACTCCAGCAGCTCACCTGCTGCATGACCCTCCTTCTCTGCATGGTCACCTACGTCATGTTCTAGAAGATGAATGGCACCACCACCAAGAGACGTGAGCAAGCTGTGGTGAGCCCTGATGTGTGCTGTGTGTGGCACATAGTCCTTTGATTATTCCACTCTCCTTCCTTCCAAAGTTAGAAACAGAATCAGTATGTGCCTTCATTTTTCCTCTGCTGCCCTCACATCAGAATACTCATTCAATTCTGCTCTTAAAGGAGAATAATCATTTATTGTAACATTACACATTTTCCCACAGATCTCATTTATTAACAAATGATCAGGATCTTTACTGCCATGATAACTTGCTATCCTTAGATAATCATAGTCAAATTGCTAAATAAATACTTAAACCTGGGATAGGAATGCCTTAGAGATGATTTTAATTGTTGAGGATGAGGGTTGTATGTCCTGCTTTTCTTTCAGTGGGCCCATTTGCCGTGACCTGGTCTGAACTGCTCGTCAGCATCCAAACTGCTGTCATCCTTTTCCCCATCAGCCTTGGGATTGGGCGGCTTTTCCCGTTGATTCAACCACAGGAACCTCTACCTCTCTTTCCTCCCATCCAGGCCTCCTGCCTCTCAGATGCTTCTTTTGAGCCTCTGTCTCTCTCACAGAGATAGTGGAGGTAAGCTTGGTATCAAATTTTACAGGTAAACGTCATGCTCCCTCCCCCATGTAGTGGAAAAGGTCAGTAGAAAGGATCTCCTGCAAGGCTCCTGAGGTCCTGTTAAACTGAATAGTTTTTCTCTAATTCCTGTCCCCCGAGTCATCACTATGCCTCTGGGTTTTTTTCTCTTCATTATGGAGTGATGTGAGCACTGATGTGAGTGCAGAATGTACTACTCTGGAGGTGTTTTAGTTTTCGATGTTTGATCAAACGGTCTCTTCTTCTTTCATCCAAGATTCTCTCATAAAACTAGTTCTGAAGCTACTGTGAGGTGACTTCTTTCTGAAAAAGGAGAGAAAGTGAAAAACTGAGGTTCTTTACACTAAGCATATGCCCCTCCAAGTAGAGAAACAGCCTTCTTACCATCTGTAATTGCTACCGGTCCTGGGTTTAATGTAAAACTGACTTTTCTCATCTTGGTTCTACATTCAGGAATTAAAGGAAACTGTGGGATTCCTGCTCAGAAGAAATACGTACCTACTCTGAGTGTGAACAGTCTTCATGGAGTTCTTTCTTACAACATTAACCAGCTGATGAAGCTTTTATCCAGCCTCGTCTCTTGTTACTTAGAGGGTCAAGGCCGTCACCAGCGGGCAGGACCCTACTGGGCAAATGGTAAAGTTCAGTAAGTTTCCATATCTAATCTTTTATCTGCCTCCGACTCTCTTACTTTCGTATTCATTCTTACCTCTCAGCATAACCAACAGGCATGGTACGACCTTCTGCTTGTTTTAATTTCCTTAAACTTCCTGTATGGAGCTGATAGCTTTGATCCCTCTGACGGCTTCTTAGACAGTATATCTGGTCTTACAAAGTAAAGGATTAAGGAAAACCCACAAAATATGTCCTCTGTCTCAGACCCCCATATTTCATCTACTTTGTCGGGCTATTGAAGCTTGTCCTTTTTCTTCTATGGAATGATGAGATTATGCGATTTATGGATTCTTAATATAGTTTGGGCCTTCTGAGCACTTATAGTTTACATGTACTGCAGTTCTGATGAAAAAGTGCAATTAACTTTACAAGTTTTTCGATTCTGTATCAAAGTGTAGAATTTTACAAGTTGCTGTGAATTCACCAGCGTGCTCAGAGAAGACAATAATTCTGCAGGTGTTGGGTCCAGTCTCCAGTGACTGGGAAAATTTAACCTCATCATCAGTTAATGAGTTGCTAATTTCTACCAGGAATTACTATTTATTGAAATCTTCCACTTGTCCAAGTGTCAACCTGGAATGTACCTTCAGTGGTTCCTGAAAACCACCATCATTTCCACAGTTACCTGCTCAGAGTTCTGCGGAGGCGTCAATCTCACTTAGGCACACGGGGTCCCGCCCAGGCCCATCAGCCTTGTGACTTGCTAGATGCAGTCAGCCAACTGCAAGAACTCCAGGAACAGTTGGAAATGCGTATTCTTCCCATAGGGCAAGGGCCATCCAGGTAGTGCATCGCCCCAGGCTTTCTTTATCACCTGTAATCTTCCTAAACCTGTCTCTCAGCTGTTGGCTATGAGATTATTCCTTCAACTTCTGTTCCTAAGGGACGCAGCCAGAGCCTTCCCCATCCTGAGCCCAGACGGGAAGCAGCCCATCTCTAATGGCTGGCTCAGATGGTTGACTTACTTCTGCTGGCTCCTTCTGGTGTCACTAGCCTGGCCTCAGCCTTTTTTACAGCACTTTATAGCCTGGAACTGAACAAAGACCAAGCCACCAGCTGGGTTATTTCGATATTATCATTGCTTCAGAACGTCTTCATCACCGGTAAAGGTACGTGAGAAACAGTGACACCGGCATGGGAGGAAACATTGTAGTTGCAGGAAGCTTGGGAAACCGAGGTCTGTGGGTGTCAATCCAGGGTGTCTAATGATTCTTACAACTTGACAAAAATAAAAATCAAAACAGAAATTGGCAGAGTGAAATTTATTAGGGGTATGTGTGCAGTAGTCACAGAAAATAACTAGAACTGATGGACTAGTAGAAGTTTAGCAAAAAAGGACTGGGAAGTTAAGAGGGACAAGTAAAAAAATCAACACTAAACTACCTTAAAAAAAAACAACAACAGAAAACTTACCTTTTAAAAATCTTCCCTTTCCTGGCCTTCCCTGGTGGCACAGTGGTTAAGAATCCACCTGCCAATGCAGGGGACACGAGTTTGAGCCCTGGTCTGGGAAGATCCTACATATCGCGGAACAACTAAGCCCTGCGCCACAACTACTGAGCCTATGCTTTAGAGCCCACGAGCCACAACTACTGAGCCCCCGTGCCACAACTACTGAAGCCCGCACACCTAGAGCCCGTGCTCCACAACAAGAGAAGCCACAGCACTGAGAAGCCTGCACACCACAATGAAGAGTAGCCCCTACTCACTGCAACTAGAGAAAGCCCACGCACAGCAATGAAGACCCAACACAGTGAAAAATTAATTCTTTAAAAAAGATGGTAAGTTTTTTGTTATGTGTATTTTACTAATTTTTAAAATCCAATCATTGTTCACATTTTCCCAGTTGTCTTGTAAATATTTATAGTTGTGTTGTTCAAATCAAGATCTAAATAAGGTCCATGTGTTGCAATGAGTTTGTCTCAAGTATTTTTAATATTTAATCTATAGATTCTCCCTCCTTTTTTCTCTTTCTGTCACTCTCTATTCCTGCTATTTTTCTTACAATATATGTATTGAAGAAACCAAGTTGTTTGTCTTATAGATTTTCCAACATTCTGGATTTTGGTGACGGGATTACTTCTGCTTTAAGAACCTACAAACACACCTGGGGAGCTTTTAAAACTCTTGGTGCCCAGGCCTCTCTCCAGACCAATCAAATTGTAATCCCTGCAGATGGGATCCAAGGCCCACATGTCAAAAGCTTCCCAGGTGATTCCATTGTGCAGCCCCATTTGAGACCCACTGATCCTAGAAGAGGAACAGAGTACAAGGAGTAGGTAAACCTTAAATAAAAAGAACTGCTGGAAGAGACAAACCAAAAAATAGCAAGAGCTCTTAAGGAGATTCCATTACATCAGACACACAGACAAAGGCTTTTAGGAAATGAAAAACGTGATTTACAGATTTTAAAAATTCAGAAGTTGAATTGAAGATGTCATTATTGGGGACCTCCCTGATGGTCTGCCTTCCAATGCAGGGAACACGGGTTCGATCCCTCATTGGAGAACTAAGATCCCACATGCCACACATGGGGCAACTAAGCCCGCATGCCACAACTACTGAGGCTGCGCACCTCAACTAGAGAGCCCACGTGCTGCAAACTACAGAGCCCATGCACTCTGGATCCCATGCGCCACAACTAGAGAGAGAAAATCTGCACTCCACAACTAGAGAGAAGCCCGAGGGCCACAACAAAGAGCCTGCACTGCAATGAAAGATCCCACATGCCTCAACGAAGATCCCACATTAAGACTCGATGCAGCCAAAAATAATAAGAAAAAAATATGTATGAAAAAATAGATGTCATTACTGAGACTCAAATTAATGGATCAGGAAGATCAAACTAAAATGCAAAACATAAGACATGTGTATAAAAATATTGAAAGTATAAAGAAAAAGAGACTTAAACAGTAGATCCAGGGGACTTAACATGCAGTTAAGATGAGTGGTAATAATAAAACAGTTGAAAAAATTCCACTGTTGCAGAGAGATACTGAATTTGTTGACAGGCCTCAACTAGTTCCAGGCATAGTTAATTTAAAAAGACACACTGAGGGCTTCCCTGGTGGCGCAGTGGTTGCGAGTCCGCCTGCCGATGCAGAGGACACGGGTTCGTGCCCCGGTCCGGGAAGATCCCACATGCCGCGGAGCGGATAAGCCCGTGAGCCATGGCCGATGAGCCTGCGCGTCCGGAGCCTGTGCTCCGCAACGGGAAAGGCCACAACAGTGAGAGGCCTGCGTACCGCAAAAAAAAAACCAAAACACTGAAATGGGGAACAGTAGTTCTGGGACAGGGCCCAAGATTCTGCATTCCTAACAGTTTCCTAGGTGATGCTGCTGCTGATCCGTGGATCACACTTCAAGTAGTATCACTATGAATACAAACCTAGCTCCTCTGAAAAGTCAGTATCACGAGAGAAAAATTAATGGGTGAGCGATCCTTTGAATAAATGAGCCATTTTTAATATGGATCAGATAGTATACTAGGAAATTATTGATCATTTCCTTAAGTGTGATGATGATATGAAAATAGCCTGATTTTTAGGAGACACATGCTTGAAAACAGGAAGCCCTTGCCTTCCACTGTTTCAGTTTGTACATGAATTTCATTTACTCTGGTTCAGTTGAATAACACCAGTTTCCCAGCAACACAGTTCAAATATCAGTTACCGGGACTTCCCTCGTGGTACAGTGGTTAAGAATCCGCCTGCCAGTACAGGGGACACAGGTTCGATCCCAGTTCGGGAAGATCCCACATGGCACCGTGCAACTAAGCTCTCGTGCCACAACTACTGAGCCTGCACTCTAGGGCCAACAAGCCCCAACTACTGAGCCCGAGCTCCGCAACAAGAGAAGCCACTGCAATGAGAAGACCGCACACCGCAACGAAGAGTAGCCCCTGCTGGCCACAACTAGAGAAACCCGCATGCAGCGATGAAGACCCAATGCGGCCAAAAATAAAAATAAAAATAATTAATTAATTAATTAAATGGATAACAAACAAGGACCTACTGTATAGCAAAAAAAAAAAAAATCTCAGTTATCATGGTATATCAACTGTGGGTGATTGCACAAAGTACCAACTGCTGCTAGCCCTTTTAGCCCATAATTCACTACGTAAATTAACAGGTGCACATCATGATCAGTGACCAATCATGTCACTTTTCAAAGTCTGGATGATTGGTCACCTGTTATCCTGTTTATGTACAGACAGCAAATTGTGTAGTTGTGTTATTTCTTTGTCTCCCGGTCATAAACTCCGTGACATTTACCATGAAATGGATAATTGAAAGAGGACCTTGGCCAACAAAGATGAAAATGCAGCAAATTAACAAAATAACACTGAAAGTGAAATTTGAATAGAATGTAAATGGAGTTATACAAGAAGCCGCTGACCATGGGAAGGTGGCCTGTGGTCAAGAAACTGTAGATACGGCCAGGTGAACTTGGTAAAGTCAAACTTACCAACATAAATGGAGAAATTGGTTATGAAGAAAAGGATGATGATGTCCCAAAGGAAGTAACACTGGCAAAAAATTAACATTAAAGCGACTCTCGGAGATATTTCACAGCATTGAAAGCATAAAGGATAAGATGCTGGAAGCCAATGCAAACTTAGAACAGTATGACGATTCACCAAAGGCACAGACAAAATGCTGTCCCCGTATCCTAAATTATACAACAAGAGGAAGGCCAGCACTGTTCAAATTATTCTTGATAAATTTTCTACAAAGAAGTAACTTTAATTCTTAATGTTTCTAAAGTTTTAAATTACATATTAGTTTAACTACTTCTAAATTTTTCCTTGTACCTTCATAACGAGCAATAAGAGATTTTAATGTTTTGACACAAATTTTTAATTTTTTTTTTTTTTTTTGTGGTACGCGGGCCTCTCACTCTGTGGCCTCTCCCGTCGCGGAGCACAGGCTCCGGACGCGCAGGCTCAGCGGCCATGGCTCAGGGGCCCAGCCGCTCCGCAGCATGTGGGATCCTCCCAGACCGGGTCACGAACCCGCGTCCCCTGCATTGGCAGGCGGACTCTCAACCACTGCGCCACCAGGGAAGCCCTGACACAAATCTTTAAATGTCACAGAATGGTCATAATTTTTCCCCACTGATGATTAAGATCACTTTGCACAGTTTCAGCTTGCTAGGTCATTTGTATGATCCCACACTACCATGTAAAGTGAGAATTACCTTTAATTAGGTGTGAAATGTCATGTCTGTTATTTTCAAGTGCTTCAGAAAAAGAAGCAAAACAAATATGGTGACAAATTAACTTTTGTATCTTCCAATTTTTATGTATGTTTTTAAATTTTAATAATAAAATATCAGATAAAAATAAGTCAATGGGAACTTCCCTAGTGGTCCAGTGGTTAAGATTCCACACTCCCAATGCAGGGGGGCTGGGTTCGATCCCTGGTCGGGGAACTAGATCCTACATGCTGCAGCTAAGAGTTCACATGCCACAGCTACAAAGCCCACATGATGCGATTAAATATCCTGTGTGCCGCAACTAAGACCCGGTGCAGCCAAACAAATGAATAAACAAAATAAATAAATATTTTAAAAAATAGTAACTCAGTGGATCATATACTCAAATGTAAAATTACAAATCTTTTAGAAGGAAACATAGGTGAAAATCTTCGAAACCTTAGGAAAGGCAAAGAGTTCTTATATACATACATTACCAAAAGCACAGTCCAGGAAAGAAAAAATAGATAAATTGGACTTCATCAAAATTAAACATTTTGCTCTATGAAAGACACCTTTTTTATTGAAATGTAGTTGATTTACAATGTTGTGTTAGTTTCTGGTGTACAGCAAATGATTGAGTTATATGTATTCATATTCTTTTTCATATTCTTTTCCATTATGGTTTATTAGGGAATATTGAATATCCCTGTGCTATACAGTAGGACCTTATTGTTTATTTTTTATATAGTAGTTTGTATATACTAATCCTAAAGTCCTGATTTATCCCTTCCCCACCTCCTTTCCCCTTTGGTAACCATAAGTTTGTTTTCTGTCTATGAGTCTGTTTCTGTTTTGCAGATAAGTTCATTTGTATTATTTTTTAGATTCCACATATAAGTGATATAATGGTATTTGTCTTTCTCTTTCTTACTTACTTCACTTAGTATGATAATCTCTAGGACCATCCATGTTGGTGCAAATGGCATTGTTTCATTCTTTTTTATGGCTAAGTAGCATTCCATGGTGTATACGTACCACATCTTCTTTATCCATTCATCTGTTGATGGACATTTAGGTTGTTTCCATGTCTTGGCTGTTGTAAATAGTGACACCCCTATGACATAGGGGTGCATGTATCTTTTCAAATTATAGTTTTGTCTGGATATATGCTTAGGAGTGGGATTGCTGGATCATATGGCAACTCTATTTTTAGTTTTTTGAGGAACCTCCATACTGTTTTCCATAGTGGCTGCACCAATTTACATTCCCACCAACAGTGTAGGAGGGTTCCCTTTTCTCCACACCCTCTAGAGCATTTGTTATTTGTAGACTTTTTAATGATGGCCATTCTGAGCGGTGTGAGGTGATACCTCATTGTAGTTTTGATTTGCATTTCTCTAATAATTAACAGTGATGAGCATCTTTTCATGTGCCTGTTGGCCATCTGTATGTCTTCTTTGGAGAAATGTCTGTTAAGGTCTTCTGCCCATTTTTTGATTGGGTTGTTTCGTTTTTTGTTATTGAGTTGTATGAGCTGCTTGTATATTTTGGAAATTAAGCCCTTGTCAGTTGTATCATTTGCAAATATGTTCTCCCAATCCGTAGATTGTCTTTTCATTTGGTTTATGGTTTCCTTTGCTGTGCAAAAGCGTGTAAGTTTGATTAAGTCCCATTTGTTTTTTGGGTTTTTTTGGCTTTATTTGTGTTTCCTTGGGAGAGTGACCTAAGAAAACATTGGTATGATTGATGTCAGAGAATGTTTTGTCTGTGTTCTCTTCTAGGATTTTTATGGTGTCATGTTTTATTTTTAAGTCTTTAAGCCATTTTGAGCTTATTTTTGTGTGAGGGTGTGTTCTAACTCACTGATTACATGCTACAGTCCAACTTTCCCAGCACCACTTGCTGAAGAGACTGTCTTTTCTCCATTGGATATTCTTGCCACCTTTGTGAGAGATTAATCAACCATAGGTGTGTGGGTTTATTTCTGGGCTCTCTATTCTGTTCTGTTAAGCCATATGTCTGTTTTTGTGCCAATACCATGCTGTTTTGATTACTGTAGCTTTGTAGTATTGTCTGAAGTAGAATGACTAAAATATCGATAATACTAAATGCTGGTGAGGACGCAGAGTAACTGGGAACTCTCATTCATTGGTGGCAGAAATTAAAAAATGGCATAGCCACTTTGGAAAGCAGTTTACCAGTTTCATACAGAGTTATACAGTTTCCATATAACTTAGTAATTGCACTCCCAGGTGTTTACCCAAAAGAAATAAAAACTGGGACTTCCCTGGTGGTCCAGTGGTAAAGAATCTGCCTTCTAATGCAGGGGATGGGAGTTCAGTCCCTGGTCAGGGAACTAAGATTCCCACATGCTGCAGGGCAGCTAAGCCCATGCACCACAACTACTGAGCTCGTGCGCTTCAATGAGAGAGACTGCGTGCTGCAAATTACAGAGCTCATGCGCCCTGTAGCCTGCGTGCCACAACTAGAGAAGAGAAAACCCTCACACCACACCTAGAGAGAAGCCCACGTGCCTCAACAAAGACCTGATACAGCCAAAAATAAATAAGTAAATAAATAAGTAGAAACGAAAACCTATGTTCACACAGAATTGTGTGAATATTTGTAGTAGCTTTATTCATAATTGCCAAGGATGGGACTTCCCTGGCAGTCCAGTGGTTAAGACTCTGCGCTTCCACTGCAGGGGGCACGGGTTTGATCCCTGGTCAGGGAACTAAGATCCCACATGCCACATGATGTGGCCAATAATAATAATTATAATAATAATAATTGCCAAGGATGGAACCAACCCAAATGCCCATCAGCTGGTGAATGGATAAGCGGTGGTACATCCATACAGTAGACTACTCAGCAATGAAAAAGAACAAACTACTGGTACATGTAGTGACATGGATGAATCTCAGATGTATTATTGTAAGTGAAAGAAGCCAGTTCCAAAAGCATACTTTATGATTCCATTTATATGACATTCTGCAAAAAAGCAAAAACTACATGGATGAAGAATCTATCAGTGGTTCCCAGAGATGGAGGTAGTAAAAAGGGCTGATCACAATGGGGCAGCATCAGGGAATTTTGGGGGGTGATGAAACTATAAGGTATCTTGATTATAGTGGTGGATACTCTTTGTATTTGTCAACACATAGAATTATACACCAAAAAGTGTGTTTTTTTAATGTGTGTAAATACATTTTTTTAAAGCTAAAAAAACCTTTGTTATTACAATGGCTAAAAAGTTCCTCTTCACTGGTCAAATAAAACAGTAAGATTCAATTTTGCTTTTAAAAATGGCAAAGGAAAACAAATGATAATGCACAGTGATGCCAGGGAAAATGGGCACTTAATGCTGGTTGAGGAAAATCTGGCAATATACAGTAAAAGCCTTCAAATTCTGCATCCCTCTGCTGAGTAAGTTTCATTTCTAAGGATCTATTCTGAGAAAATTCAGAGTGGTTTATAATAATAAAATGGCAGCAGTTTAAATGTTCAAAAATAGGATATTGCTTAATATAAGACAGCCATATCTGTGTAATGGGATACCGAGCAGCCATTTAAAATGTTATAGAAAATGAAAGGATGTGGAAAACTGGTCCAGATATATTAAGACAAAAAAGATTAATGGATGTATTCCAAATTTTTTAAGTTTCTTAAAAATCTCTAATTTTTTTGAAAATTTTTATAATAAATGTATATGTTTTTAAAAGTTGGAAAGTATAAAAAGAGGAATAGTAGAGATGGAAACCAATGTGTTAGCTTAGCTATCAGTATTGCTAAAGTGCAGTTTGGTTGAACTCATGGCCAAGTGTACTTTTTAGTAAATTCCCCTCAAATGTAATTCTGGGGACAATCCACTAGAGGGCGACTTTAGGTCTGTAGAGCAGACACACCTGGAATTGCCACAACCCAACAGGGGTGTGTGGCAACGGGCTGGAAATACTACTCTTGACCTTTGTTCTCCAGGGACTGGAGCACTTTCCTCTCCTCCAAGGAAATTTAAGGAGCGGGGGATACTTGTCTTCCCTAACAGAGGCTTAAGGTCTTACTCAATTCTAAGATTCCATGCCTGCTTCAGCAAAACTGGCACTTTCAAAAAATGTAGGGCTCGGTTCTCTGTGGCGGCCTGGAGGGGTGGGATAGGGAGTGTGGGAGGGAGGGAGACAAAGAGGGAAGAGATATGGGAACATATGTATGTGTATAACTGATTCACTCTGTTATAAAGCAGAAACTAACACACCATTGTAAAGCAATTATACCCCAATAAAGATGTGAAAAAAAAAAAAATGTAGCTTCTTCAGTCTAGCACATCAAAGTTGTTCCAAAAACAGGTGTCAGTGAACACCTTATACAGATCATCACAAATCATTTAATAGTTTAAACTCTCCTAGCCAAGCAGATTAAGGACTACAAGCAAAAATACAAAGATTAACATTATATCAAATACATCCTCATGGTTATCCAAAAATAATTATGAATTTACTTAATTCTCAGTTTTCCATAAAAATAAAGGGCCAAGTCACTGAAATGTATTAATCATACCCACCTTCACCTTTACCTAACGGCGCCACCTTCTTGGTTCCTGTAATATCTGCTCATTAAGTTTCTCCTCTGACTTTCCTGTCTAGGTGGTCTTCCTCGCATTGTTTCACTCACTGCTGCTGAACAGGATGCTGTGGCTTCACAAAGAGAAGGAACATCAAACCAAGAGGTTCTTGGCAGTCTTGGGTAATTCAAGTAGTTCTAACTAATATCTAATTTTGCAAATAGCAAATTGTATCAGAACAGTGAGCTCCTAGCCACCTCACTGGCTCAGAAGAATCTGTCCACTTGGGATCTTGTCTCTGACTGGCTGTTGCACCTTCTTCCCAGCCCAAGACTAACCAGTGCGTTACCAACACTCTTTGTGATCCATCCCTCCCTAGATCTCTCAATGCTTCTACTCTTCCCTATATTCTAGATTCCTTCCTAGTGTTTCTAGCTTTGAGCCCCAAGTGCTGTTTCCAACTGCTCACCCTCTGTATCTGAATGCCTGCAGGTATCTCAAATTAAACATGCCCCCAAGCAGAATTATTTGCCTGCCCCACAAATTCATTTCTTTACTCTGTTTTCTCACTTCAATTAATAGCATCACCATTCTCTAAAAACTTAAGAATAATCCTAAATCCCACCCCCCATTCAGTCACCAAACCTGAGGGAGTCTACCCTGTAAATAACTAACTAGAGCCACTCATATTACATGGATGAAACTCACAAACACAAAGATGGCCGAAAAGCAAACTGCAGAAAAAATTAACACATTTTTTTAACATCTTTATTGGAGTATAATTGCTTTACAATGGTGTGTTAGTTTCTGCTTTATAACAAAGTGAATCAGTTATACATATACAGATGTTCCCATATCTCTTCCCTCTTGCGTCTCCCTCCCTCCCACCCTCCCTATTCCACCCCTCCAGCTGATCTCCCTGTGCTATGCGGCTGCTTCCCACTAGCTAGCTATTTTACATTTGGTAGTGTATATATGTCAATGCTACTCTCACTTCGTCCCAGCTTACCCTTCCCCCTCCCCGTGTCCTCAAGTCCATTCTCTACGTCTGCGTCTTCATTCCCATCCTGCCCCTAGGTTCTTCATGACCATTTGTGTTGTTGTTGTTGTTGTTCTTTTTTCTTTTTGTGGTACGCGGGCCTCCCACTGCTGTGGCCTCTCCCGTTGCGGAGCACAGGCTCGGGACGCGCAGGCTCAGTGGCCATGGCCCACGGGCCCAGCCGCTCCGCGGCACGTGGGATCTTCCCAGACCGGGGCACGAACCCGTGTC